AGGAAACAAGATGCTCAGCACAAATAGCACTCCGCATTTATGATGGCCGGCGGAGGGAAGGTGAATGTCGAAAACGCTGCCGCTGATCGACGCCAAAACGCAATCCGCAATGTGTTGGCCCCGCGGGGGGAAGGCGGGTGTTGAAACATATGATCGAACGCCGTTCGGGTGAGCGGGCACAAAGAAAGCAGCGGATTTTCCCCGGGAATCCGCCGGGGGGGGGGGGATGCGGGACGTAAGGCCTCTCGAGCCCCTTGTCGCCTGTGGGGTTGAGCGGCGTGGCAGCAGTGAAGGCCACGCAGCCCCCTCCGCAGCGCACACGGCGCGGTGGTCGGCGCGGGCGCAGGCGCGGAGTGGCGCACGCCGCCACGACCGGCGAGGGCGAGATGGCGTCCGAGGCCCGGCGGGAGTCGGGCCTGCACCGTCCGCCAAGGACGAGAGCGCGATGGGCGACGCGGACGCCCATGTGGGCCATGGCCTCCTCTCTGCCTGCGAGGCTGCCACCCGGCACCCTCCGCCGAGTCCCGTGCGCGAGGGCGGCGATGTGGCAGGCAGGGCGGCGAAGGCGGGCAGGGGCGGAAGGCTGTCGCCACGAAGCCTGGCGCAGGGACTTCGAGGAGGTGAAGGAGCGGCCGAGGAAGGACGCCCTTTGCGCGGCGCCAGCCTTGAACGTGCAGTTTTTGCGGCGGCGACCGTGTGGCCAGGGCGTCCCGCTGCAGGGGTCGTTCGGCCGTCCGCGCCACGGCGCCCAACTCCGCAAAAACAACTCCACTGGCACGCAAACACCTCCAGCCTACGCGACACACGGATGCTGCTGGATGCACGGCAGCGGGAGGTGGACGCACCGAAGGCTGCGCGGCCGCGGCCGCGCGGCACGCGGCTCGGGATGGGACACCCTCGAGGCGCAGCGCGGGCTGCGCGGCACGCGGACGGGCCGATGCGGGAGGAGCCTGGCCCGAAGGACAGCGGCGTCGCGCGGCACTCTCGCTGCCCGCTCTCGGTGGCTGCCGTCGGGCCTGCGGTCGAGCTCCGCGAGGCCAGGCGGGAGGCAGCGAGGACCGAAGCGCAGCTCGAGCGGGCGATCTGCGACCAGCATGCACGCCGCCGCTGGGCGGCGTGAGGCGCCTGGCGAGCAGCACGATGAGCCTGCTCGCTGAGAGCACAAGCCTTCGCCGAATGCATCACTGTGTGCTTGCAAACAGCTCGGTGACGTTTTCCCGGAAAGGACGCGGGAACAAGGTTCTCTTTTAGCAGTGATCCACTATCCCCAGTGCCATGTTCGATGAAGGCCAACGGGATTATTTGCAATGAGAAATGAAACCGCATTGCATCGTTGATGAAATAATATGTTCCACGCGTGCCCGCTCAAATAACAAACGCATGCATGTCAAATCCTCGATGAATAACAGGGTCCACTGACCCTTCTCTCTATCCTAAAAATGGTGGCAGCGGGTGTGTGTGTGTGGGGCGTTTTGTACAGAATCCTCGCGAGCAGAGCATTGAACTTTTCATTGAATGCGCAACACCTAAGAAACTCAGTTTTGCACGTTCCCGCCAGAGGGTGGCGCGCCCCGCACGGGAACGCTCCGCAAATGATGGGGTGCGGAGGCCGGGGGAAGCCCTGGGGCGCCCCTGGGCGCCCTGGGAGCGGGGTCCCTGCGCAATTCGCCGGGGATCGTGGCCGTGCGGCGCGGGCGCAGCGACACGCACGAGGAGCTTGGCCCTGGCAGAGCGGGCGCACCGCAGCTTACCAAGAGTGTGGCCCTCGGAGGCGGGCGCACCGTGGCTTGCTAAGAATCGTTGCCCCTGGAGGGCAAGCGCATCGCAACTTTCGAGGGGTCGCGGCCCTGAGAGCGTGGACGCGGCGTCAGTTCCCAGGGATCGTGGCACTGGGGGCGCGGACGCAGCGAAATTTACAGGGGATCCTGGCCCTTGGAGCGCGGACGCAGCGCAATGTACGAGGCACTATTGCCTCAGGGGCGCGGACGCAGCGCAATTCCTTGGGGATCGTGGCCCTTGGAACACGGGCGCGGCGTGCTTTACGAGGTCTGTGGCCCTGGAACACACAAACCCAATGCAATTCTCCTGCGGAATCTGGCCCTTGGAGCGCGGGCGCAGCGTAAATCACGCAGGGTCGCGGCCCCGGGAGCGCGGGCGCATGAAACTTTACGAAGATCGTGGCCCCGGGAACGGGGACGCAACGTAACTCATCCGGGATTGGAGCAGTGTGGCCCCGGGAGCGCGGAGGCAGCCACATCTACGAGGGATCAACAAGTGTGTGTGTGTGTGTGTGTGTGTGTGTGTGTGTGTGTGTGTTTTTGTGTGTGTGTGTTTTTGTTTTGCTTGTTTGTGTTTTTTTGTTTGTTTGTGTTTTTGTGTTTTTGTGCGTGTGTTTTTGTGTGTTTGTTGTGTGTGTGTGTGTTTGTTTTTATGATTTGTGTTCGGCCCTTGGAGCCCCAATCCAAGCTGTACGAAGGATCGCTGCGCTGGGCGGTCAGCCCTGGCGTAGGTTGCCAAGGAGTCCGTCGCTCTCGGAGCGCGGATCCGATGAGATGTAGAAGTCATCGTTGCACTGGGAGCGCAGGCCACGCGGAGAAAACATAAGGCGGGCGTGGTCTCGCAAGCCCGGCTGGGCCAGCACATTTTGCTCGCTACTTCAAGAAAGCAACACCACGCGTGCCGCCGCTGCCTCTGTCTGCGCAAGACTTGCAGAGCAAAGCGTGCCGTCCCCTTGGCACGTGCACGCTCCGTGGCACGCCCCCCGGCTTCCGCGTCCCCCGGCACGTCTGCGGCGCGTCCCCGGACGAGTTCAGCAGCGCATCCCGTGACACGTTCCGTTGCACGTCTCCTGGCGCGTTCCCTGGCGCGTGTTCTGGCGCGTTCCCTGACTCGTTCGCCGGCGCTTCCCCTGCCCGTTCTGTGGCGCGTGCCCTGCCACGTCTCCTGGCGCGCGCTTTTGGCAGGCCCCGTGGAAGATCCCTGACACGTCCATGGCACGTCCCCTCGTGCGTCCCCTAGCGCGTCCCTTGGCGCATCCTCTGGCACATCCCGTGGGGCGTCCATGCGCCCTGCGCCCCTTGTCGTCTCGCCCCGTGTCGGCACTGAGAGCGTGAGCTCGAGCTGGTCGAGCGCCCCGCACGCTTCGACTGCAACCACTTCTGCGCGAGCCACGCAGTCAGACAGCGCCGGCGAACGATCCAGACTCGCTCGGTCAAGATGCGAGCGCCAAGGACGACTGGATCCAAATCGCAGTAGAGCGCACCAGAGCATGGAAGAGCACAGTTCGGCATGGCACGGCGTGGCACAGCGCGGCGCAACAGAGCACAGCCCATGGTACGGTATCATCACCACAGACGTCCTCGCCGTTGCCACTGCCCGCTTCCCAAGCCAGGGCAGTTCTATATCCGTCTCTGGGATCGTGAATCGAGGACGCTTGCATTCGACGAGTTTTTGCTTCCAGTGGGCGGATCGCTTTCCCCTGCAGTGCGCGGCGCCGCGCGCAGCAGCGCGCGAGGAGTGTGGCGAATGTGCACGGCGTGCAGGCGCTGCCCGCCCTTGGCCAGCGGGCCACCGAGGGCTAACCATTGTGGCTTGCCCGAGTGCTCGCTCCATGGACTTTCCTCTAGAAGTTGGGGGTTGCCACGCGTAGTGGATGCGCGTGGAGTGCGAAGGTGGCGTGCTTGTGCTGGCCGTTTTCGGACGGACGGGCCGTAGAGGGCAGCTGTGGCACGCATGACTGTGGAGGGACGAAGCGGCTACCCAGTCTGGCGCGCGTCGTTAAACATGGGCATCGGCCCTGAGCTGTTTCGAACGGGCTTCGCCTATTCTCGGGGTGGCTCGGGGTGGTTCGATGTAGCACGGCACCCCTTGACTTCTGAAGTGTCCTTAGAGGTTGTTCCTCCCGTTCCTCCTCCTCCTCCTCCTTTTCCTCCTCCTCCTCCTCCTCTTCCTCCTTCTCGTCCTCCCCCTCTTCCCTCCCTTCCTCCTCCTCCTCCTCCTCTTCCTCCTCCTGATTGCTGACTGCTGACTGCTGATGGCTGGACAGAGCGTCGTTCCGTAGCCACACCGTCCTCCTCCTCGTCCTCCTCATCCTCATCCTCCTTCTCCTCGCGAGCAGGGCGCTCGCCCGACCGATCCGAGGGGCCAGAAGGCGAGCTTGCCACATGTGCACATGCGCGCGGGCACGACTGTCCGGCGGCGCTCCTGGGCGTCGAGGCGGGGAACGGTGTTCTCTACACATCCACATACTCCTCGGGGCGTCTTCCGAATGTTTGATTACTCGCCCCTCTTCTCCGTCTCCGCCTCCAGCCTGATGTGCGCCGCTCAGAGGTTGTCGTGGGCCCAGCCCGTCGGCTTTCGGCAACGAGATCTCGAGCCCGCCAGAATATGCAGCGGGGCCGCGGCATGCGTCCGAGACTCGCAACCGAGCGGGGGGAATAAGGATTCCACGCCCTGCCTTGAGGCAAGGCGGCTACGGACGACGAAAAGGCGCGTATGCAACGAATCCCGATGACGCCCGTTGCCAGGAAGGCCCCCCCCCCCCCTTTCTTCCCTCCACCACTAACGTCACGATTCGCGCCGCCGCTGTCCGGGAATGGCTCGGAGTGGCTACTTCACAGACGGCGGCGGCGCGAGTCGTGACGCTGACCCCGCCCATCCCCCCTTCCCCCCCTCCTCCCCCCAGTGACGGCCGCCATCGCGAGGAGATAACAGAAACAGGCTCGAGGAGCAGCAGGCAAGTGAGGAGCGGCAGCCAGGTGGGTGGCGGAGCTGGGGTTTGAGCCAGGCGCGGCGCGGGCGGGCGTAGTCGTCGTTCGCTCGTTCCCCGAGTTTCTCTGCTTCCCTGCTCTCTCTCCGTCTTTCCTTCGCTTTCTCCTTCTGCTCCCTCCCTCCAGGGGGGGGGGGGCAGGGAGGGAGGCGCTGCCGCGGGGGCGCAAAGGCCTTCCGAACGGCCTTGAAGGTGACCTTTTGATCCTGCGGGTCGGCTGGAGCAGAACGGC